TACCACGGCGAGGAGGGTGTGTGTGAGATGGAGGCCCTCTCGATCAGAACACCCTATCTCCGTATTTTTTCAGACAGGATCGTTTTCAGACCAGACCCGTCCTTCATTCCGAAGGTAGCTCGGAGTTTCCAGAGGGAACAGGACATTGTCCTTCCCTCATTTTTTCCTGACCCGGTGGGGGTAGATCAGGAGAGGTATCACTGTTTAGATGTCAGAAGGTGCGTTCTCCAGTATCTAGAGAAATCTAGGGAGTTCAGAAGCACCGAATCCCTTTTTGTTTTTTTTTTAAGGGGGCTAGAAGAGGCAAGAAGGCGTCTAGAAGGACGCTGGCCAGCTGGCTGCGGCTGGCGATTACAGGAGCATATCAGGCAGAAGCCTGGAGGTCCCGGAGGGTATCAAGGCACATTCCACCCGAGCTGTGGCGGCTACCAGGCAGAGTTAGCAGGGGTTTCCCCAGGGCAGATTTGCAGAGCGGCAACATGGTCCAGCTATGACACATTTGCCAAGCATTACGAGGACTGGACCTGGTCTCGGTGCAGGAGCAGGACTTTGGTCGTAAGGTCTTACAAGCAGTTAGCCCGCCCGAAGGGTGAGTACTCGCTTATCCTCTCAGAGTGCTGGCCTGAAAGACGGTAGGGGAAAAACCAAGTTACACTTACGGTAACGTTCTTTTCCAGGAGTCTTTCAGGCCAGCACCGGTTTCCCACCCACTGTTGATATTGGTTATGTGAAGATGGCTTATTATGATTATGTTGTCTCGCATTGTGTCTCCCCCAGATGACCGGAGGATGCTTGGAGAACTGAGGTCAGAGGGGAGTGGAGCTTTTTTATTGTAGGTGGAGGTGTTTCCTCAGATGGGGAGGAGCCCGAGGTCTCTCAGAGTGCTGGCCTGAAAGACTCCTGGAAAAGACGTTACCGTAAGTGTAACTTGGTTTTTTTTTTTTTTTTTTTTTAAATTTATCTCTGACTTCTCTTCTGATCTTGATTGTGTATTTCTAAGGTTTGAGCTACCAACACAATGATAGGCTGGCTCATTTGTAAATAAGAATGTGTAAGATGTCGGAAGAGCAGACATGCTCTGTCACTACTAGGATGTGCCTGATCTTTTCAGTTCAGAACAGCCTGGAAAATTCAGACATATCTGGCACCATAGGTGCTATAGGTATGAGCTTCTGATCACCTACACTTTATACCTGCTAACCTCTTGTTTAAAGTGACAGTCACTTTGGGCAAATATACATCTGACAACCGTTCAATGGAATAATTACAGCAGTAGTAATTACCCACCTTATTTGAGCAAATCCTAGCAATCAAATATTCATTTGGTAGTTAAAGTTCATAAGCTATTTAAAAGCATTCAAGAAGCTGATCGTCACTATTTCTGAATTAACGTAGAAGTCCAGCCTAACCCTTACCAGTCTTAAAAAAGCCTCCTTCTGCCTGTGCAGCCTAACCTGTGTAAACAAGATGTATAAAGTTAATATGCGGCTCTGGCTGCCCTGTGTCAGTCAGGGGCTGCTTCCAGGACAGAGGAAGGTGTGCTGACAACAGCTGGGACATGGGAGCCTATGGGTGATGTCATGGATCCTTTAAGTCTCTAGCCATTTTCTAGCACTCCTCCTCTCCCCTGCAGCTGCCGCTCACTAATGCAATGGGATCACGTGACCAGACCAGAGTGGACTAAAAATAGGTACTTATACACAAGTTTATAACACAGGCGGTATAGGTAGCAGAAGTGGATGGGATCATTCTTAAGACTAGTTAGTGTTAAGCAAGAATTCCACTTTTTATTGATTAACTTTCTGCTCCAGCTTTGGTACCAAGACCCTTTAAACATGTCTGCTAGAATTTTATGCTGAAATGCCTTTCAGTTTTGTAAAACATTTTCTACTTCAGGTCTCCTGAGAGCCCATTCACACCACATGTGTTGCACTAATGTGCATTAGTAATTTGTGCATAGTAAATGCTGCTGTGCCATTTATTGTGTATAGCACCGCAGCACACCAATGCACATTGGGGTGCCATTCACAATACCATTCATTGTGAATAGAACCCAACTGGGTCTCCAAAATGCTTGTGTGCTAAAATGGAGAAAAGCACAATACGTTTTTTGATGGACTGCCTAATGCAATGTGGCTCACAACATGAAAGATACATGCATCACAGAGCACTGCATTCTGGTTTGAATGGGCCGTGAGGGCTTGGAGGATATACTGTATATTGTGCTGGCATGATACTGTGCAGTTCTTTGACACAGAGTATATCTAAAACATTTCTGAGAGCACTTAGAAATGGCTCAATTGGTAGCCTGTGATTTGGGTTAGTTATATATATTTTTTTATCTTATATGCTTGGCATCTACTGCCATCTTGATGGCCCACTCAGGGTTACATAAATTCATTCTAGCACAGGGGGATGTCAGGATTGTACACTGAGGTGTGAATGTACAGTTGTGTTCAAAATAATAGCAGTCAGACAACACTAACCTGATCAATCACTGTTTTTGGTAGAAATTATATTTCTACATGGCAAATAATTTACTAGCAGGTGTAGTAGAGTAATAGAAATCCAACAGACCCAACAGTCATGACATGCATGCTGCTGATTCTGTGTAATTGAATCACTAATTGAAAGGGGCATGTTCAAAATAATAGCAGTGTGGAGTTCTATTAGTGAGGTCATTCATTCTTTGAAAAACAGGTGGCAATTATTGCCCTTATTTAAGGAAGGAAGGCAGCAAATGTTGTACTTGCTGGTTACAGTGCATTTCTCTCTGAAATTCTGAGGAAAATGGGTCGTTCTAGACATTGTTAAGAAGAACAGCGTACCTTGATTAAAAAGTTGATTGGAGAGGGGAAAACATGAAAATAATAGGCTGTTCAGCTAAAATGATCGCAAATGCTTTAAAATGGCAACCAAAACCTGAAAGACGTGGAAGAAAGCGAAAAGCTACCATTCGAATGGATAGAAGAATAGCCAAAATGGCAAGGACTCAGCCAACAATCAGCTCCAGGAAGATCAAAGAAGGTCTAAAGTTACCTGTGAGTACTGTTACAATTAGAAGACGTCTATGTGAAGCCAAGCTATCTGCAAGAAGCCCCCGCAAAGTCCCACTGTTGAAAAAAAGACGTACTGAAGAGGTTACAATTTGCCAAAGAGCACAATCACTGGCCTAAAGAGAAATGGCGCAACATTTTGTGGACTGATGAAAGTAAGATTGTTCTTTTTGGGTCTAGTGGCCGGAGACAGTTTGTCAGACGACCCCCAAACACTGAATTCAAGCCACAGTACACTGTGAAGACAGTGAAGCATGGTTGCGCAAGCATCATGATATGGGGATGTTTCTCATACTACGGTGTTGGGCCTATTTATCGCATACCAGGGATCATGGATCAGTTTGAATACATCAGAATACTTGAAGAGGTCATGCTGCCTTATGCTGAAGAGGAATTGCCCTTGAAATGGGTGTTCAAGACAACGACCCCAAACACACCAGTAAACGTGCAGCATCTTGGTTCCAGACCAACAAGATTGACGTTATGGAGTGGCCAGCCCAATCCCCGGATCTTAATCCAATAGAAAACTTGTGGGATGACATCAAAAATGCAGTTTCTGAGGCAAAACCAAGAAATAGAGAAGAACTGTGAAATGTAGTCCAATCATCCTGGGCTGGAATACCTGTTCACAGGTGCCAGAAGTTGGTTGACTCCATGCAACACAGATGTACAGCAGTTCTCAGAAACAGTGCTTATACAACTAAATATTCATTAAGTGATTCAAAGGAAAGCAAAATCTTCAAACATTTTTCAGTTTATATAGTGAATGTTTGAGTTTGTAAAGAAGAATACAAACACTGCTATTTTTTTGAACAGTCTAATATTCACTTTTCTTCAATTTTTTGAGAGGAACAACACAATTTTGATATATTTTTCTTCATGTTTTGATTTGGAATAGAATGTGTAGTGTTCCCAATGCATTTGTGTGTATGGAAATAAAAGCTATTAGAAGGATTTTGCGCTTTATTAACTTTTTTCAACACACTATTTTCAACACAACTGTAATTGAGACCTGGCATATACTGTATGGAGGCCATTTGTTCAAAGCCTCACCATTTATAATTTACAAAAAAGAACATCTGATTATGTTTGTGTGCACTATTATTTATTGTATTGTATTTTTTTTTTTAATATATAGAAATATATATTTGATAAACCTTTGTACAAACATCATTCAAAATAAAAATTAAACTGCCACCATATTCTGTGGCCCTAAATCATTGTGAACCAAAAATAAACCTTTTAAAAAAATCTATGCGGAAATAAAAATTTGGCTTGCCAGGTCGTGCATAAGCATTATGCCATGGGTTGGTGTGGTAGCCTCTTTATTTGAATGGACTGCATAACCAAACAAGGTGCAACTATTGGCAAGAATGAATGGTAGTGCATCGTGTGAAAGGGTGTATTTGGCAGGAAGATTTTTATTGATCTGTGTGTGCAAAAAAGTTTCATGCCTACCTGCACACAATGTTTATTCTAAATGTACACTGAGCGCATGTGCTGTTCAGTGTGCAATTCAGGCATCTGCCAGGATGAATTAATTTTCTTGTGTCTGTGTGTTAGCTATGTAATATTGGTCCAGCCAAGATGGCCGAACCATCAGAGGCACATATGCAAACTGTTGTAATTCCTACACCATTCACCTGATTTGGATGTAAATACCCTCAAATTAAAGCTGACAGTCTGCAGTTAAAGCACATCTTGTTCATTTCATTTCAAATCCATTGTGGTGGTGTATAGAGCCAAAAATGTTAGAATTGTGTCGATGTCCCAATATTTATGGACCTGACTGTACATATTGTAGAGAAAACACTGGCTACCAGCAGTGGAGATTAATTCCTCTTTTAAAATAGTTTTAATTCTACATCCATAACAAGAAGTTTCATGTACAACATCTGTACATACTCTCTCTAATTTTCTATTGTTTTTCCTCCTATATTGTAGGTATGATGCTGAAGAAGCAAATAGCAGGAGCTCCAGGGTTGCACAACTTTGCACTTATTTTCAACAGAAATACAAGCACCTCTGCCGCCTGGAGCGAGCAGAATCGTGTCATAAGAAATATCGCCACACATTCCGGAAAGCATTGCAGAAAGCAGCCATGAGAGAGCCGGAGTCTGCAGGGCAACTGATGCAAGAATTACACATGGCTGCGCACAGAACCAGGTGAAGATAGGCAAAATTATTTAAAAGGGTTTTTTTTTTTTTTTTTTTTTTTTTTTTTTTGGCATACATTACTGTTTAACTGACATTTTTGCCTCCAGCATATCCAGAGATTCCATTTCACCTGTAGAGCCATCTGCTTGTAATACCTGGTATCACATTTTACCTTAGCAGTTGCAAGGTGTAACGAATAATAATTGCACTTATAAGTTGTTACATATTGGATAATGCATCCCATGTGGGCAGTAAGGTTATCAGGAATCACACTGGATTTCTCCACCCTTTCATTGTCATTGAGAGCGCTAATGAGCAGGGCCCTCCAAATCCTCTTGTATTAATTTGTATTGTAATTGTACGGTCTGCCCTTATGTTGTAAAGCACTGCGTAAACTGTTAGTGCTATATAAACCATGTATAATAATTGAGAACGAGGAATTTCTTAGCCAATCCATCAGTTAATGCTTGCAGGTTGGATAAAAATTTTTTTTTTTTTTTTTTTTTTTTTTAATTTAAATCGGATTTATTTTAATAAAATGCTTTTTGGAGTAAAAAAAAATCTATCTAAAGATAGTTTTCTATTTTAAGATACATTAATAATTGAGTGTATTCAGCGTGAAATTGAGCTTAGTTAGGTAGCATGAGGCTGAATATTCTGCAATATGTACATTTTCGTAAACTCCTTCAATGATTGTAAGCTGAGATAACATGCACTGCATTGATGCATTCACACAATTTCACAGTAACTATGAGAAAAAAACATGAAATAAAAGAATTTTGAGTAATTCTCCAACTATGTGTGATTAACCTAAAATCGGTTCTGATATTGCTGTTTTACTAACCTGACCACTTAGTCTAAAAAAGAAACCTTCATTTGGTTTGCAAATATTAAAGATTCTAACTACCAGCAAGAATGAGTTGGATTCCTTACATTTAAAGAGCACCTGTCATTTTAGATCCATCATGGCAGCGCCTGTTAGCGGGCATCCACTCATCTGCTGCTGCCATGTCCCTTAGCTTGTTGTGTCCCTGCCGCATCACCAGCCGTCCATTAACCTCTTCCATACCGGGCACTTTTACCCCCTTCCTGCCCAGGCCAATTTTCAGGTTTCAGCGCTCTCACACTTTGAATGACAATTGCGCTGTCATACAACATTGTACCCAAACTAAAATGTTATCATTTTCTTCACACAACTAGAGCTTTCTTTTGGTGGTATTTAATCACCACCGTAGTTTTTAGTTTTTGCTAAATTAACAAAAAAAGACCGAAAATTTAGAAGAGAAAAAAAACACGTTTTTCTTTGTTTCTGTTTATAAAAGTTTGCAAATAAATAAGTGTTCTTCATAAATTTAGGCCAAGATGTATTCTGCTACATGTCTTTGGTGAAAATAACCCAAATTGGGATCTATTTTTTAGTTTGTAGGAAAGTTATAGAGTTCACAAACTATGGTATATATCTGAATATTGATCAATCCTGAAGTACTGACAGCCAATCTAATTTCTTGAGGTCCAAGAATTACAGAACAGTACAGATATCCCCCAAATTACCCCTTTTTGCAGAGTAGACAGTCCGATGTACTTCATAAGAGGCATGGCGAGTTTTTTGAAGTTGTATTTTTTTGGTCATAATTTTTCGGAAAATGAAAAAATTAAAAAAATTATTTTCATTATTTTTTTTTACATACTGTCACCAGTGCAGTACAGCGTCATCATATAACTGGCATGACGGTGATCAGGGACACTGACAGTATTTAAAAAAAATATATAATTTTTTTTTTTTTTTCATATTTCACTATGACCAAAGTAGTACAATGTTACCATAGTAACATTGTACTACTTTGGGGAAGTGATCAGTATTTTTTATATATATATTAATTTAATTTTTTTTTTTTTTTACACAATTTGCTTATAGCAAAGAATTACTTTGCTATAAGCAAGCATTTACCTTAATGACATCGATTTCATTCAGGTTTTTTTTTTTTTATTTTATTTTTTATTTTTTTTGTGCTTAGCTGTGATTTGGCCATGGCTAATCACATGACACAGCTGGGCTGTGATTGGATGGCATGAATGAAGCTGTTAAAGTGAATGGGACTGTTGAGTCAACAGCAGGTCAGAGGAGGAGCCGCTACGGGACAGAGATGACAGTTGCTCTTTCAGAATTATTTAAATTGAGCCTTTTCACTAGTGATTTAAATCACAATCAACCTCGAATGCTTATCTGCATTTTTATATTGGAATTACTGGATTTTATTCTAAAGATGTGTTTTATGTCTGGTTATAATGGCCATGAGGTGTATGTTACAGCACCAGGCTGGTAATAACATAGTTACATAGTTAGTCTGGCTGAAAAAAGACAAGTCCATCCAGTTCAACCATTAACAAAAAAAAATAAAAAAATGAAAGTTATAATCTTACACTCAGAGTTGATCCAGAGGAAGGCCAAAAAACCCAGCAAAGCATGGTCTAATTTGCTCCAGCAGGGGAAAAATTTCCTTCCTGATCCCCCGAGAGGCAATCAGATATTCCCTGAATCAACTTTTACTATACATGTTAGTATCCTGTTATATTCTGTGTATCTAAGAAAGAATCCAGGCCTTTTTTAAAGCAATCCACTGAGCTGGCCAGAACCAAATCTTGAGGGAGTCTATTCCACATTTTCACAGCTCTTACTGTAAAGAAACTTTTCTGTGCTAGGAGATTAAATTTATTTTCCTCCAGATGTAAAGAGTGCCCCCTTGTCCTTTGTGATGATCTCAGGGTGAATAGCTCTACACCGAGTTCACTATATGAACCACTGATGTATTTATACATGTTTATCATGTCCCCCCTTAACCGTTTTCAATACCGTGCAATTTTACACCTTCCTGCCCAGGCCAGTTTTCAGGTTTCAGCGCTCTCACACTTTGAATGACAATTGCGCGGTCATACAACATTGTACCCAAACTAAAATTTGATCATTTTCTTCACACAACTAGAGCTTTCTTTTGGTGGTATTTAATCACCGCTGGGGTTTTTATTTTTTGCTAAATTAACAAAAAAAGACCAAAAATTTTGAAAAAAAAACACATTTTTCTTTGTTTCTGTTATAAAAGTTTACAAATAAATAATTGTTCTTCATAAATTTAGGCCGAGATGTATTCTGCTACATGTCTTTGGTGAAAATAACCCAAATTAGGATGTATTTTTTAGTTTGTAGGAAAGTTATAGAGTTCACAAACTATGGTATAGATCTGAATATTGATCAATCCTGAAGTACTGACAGCCAATCTAATATCTTGAGGTCCAAGAATGTCAGAACAGTACAGATATCCCCCAAATGACCCCTTTTTGCAGAGTAGACAGTCCGACGTACTTCATAAGAGGCATGGCGAGTTTTTTGAAGTTGTATTTTTGTCATAATTTTTCGGAAAATGAAAAAATTAAAAAAATTATTTTCACTATTTTTTTTTTTTTACATACTGTCACCAGTGCAGTACAAAGTCATCATATAACTGGCATGGTGGTGAGCAGTGACACTGACTGGTGACCGTATGGGGGAAAAAAAAAAAAAAAAAAAAAATATATATATATATATTATATATATATATATATATATATATATATATATATATATATATATATATATATATAATTTTTTTTTTTTTTTATTATATTTAATTTTTTATTACATTTTTTTTTTTTTTTTTAAGATTTTTTTTCATATTTTACTATGACCAAAATAGTACAATGTTACTATAGTAACACTGTACTACTTTGGGGAAGTGATCAGTATTTTTTTTTTTTTTTTTTTTTTTTACACAATTTGCTTATAGCAAAGAATTACTTTGCTATAAGCAAGCATTTACCTGAATGAAATCGTTCATCATTCAGCTTTTTTTTTTTTTTTTTTTTTTTTTTTTTTTGTGCTTGACCATTGACCATTCACAGCTAGGCACTAGTATACAATGGATGGCATCATGAATGAAGCCATCCATTGTATACAACTGTCATGTGACCTGCTATGATTGGTCACAGCAGGTCACATGGTACCAGCAACGGGAGCCGGTACTCGGATCTGTCATCGGCCGTGTCCGAGGTGCACGGGCGGTGACAGATCGCACTGCTGCATCGCTCTGCAACCGCGCAAACCGCGCATGTGCGGGAGCACGCCAAATGGCGTGCACCCGGAAAGCTGCAGCGCTTTTCAAGCCGCCAAACGGCCATTGGCCGGGCGGCTAATGGTTAATCTCCTCTTCTCAAGAGAGAATAAATTCAGTTCCTCTAATCTTTCCTCATAGCTGATCTCCTCCATGCCTCTTATCAGTTTAGCTGCCCTTCTCTGTACTTTCTCCAGTTCCCCAATGTTCCTTTTGTGAATTGGTGCCCCAAATTGAACTGCATATTAATATAAAAGGAGTAAGGAATGAAGAGCTTTGCTGAAAATGTATCGGCTTGTATGTGCATTACTTTTAAAGCAGTAGTTAAGTATGAAAAGGGAAACAATTTCCCCTGCAAAATAATGTTATAATGTGTTATGTATTGCAGCTCAGTGCACATGTGCTGGTGATGTCACCAGCTGCAGAAGTAGTGAAGATCTCCTAAATGGTGCATGTTTAGAATATATTCTTTTTATTCGAAGCTTACCTGTAGGTACAAGTGAGCAAGTGGTGTTTACTACGATTTAAAAAGAGGGGAAAAAAAAACTGCTGTGACTGACATTTAAGTTTTAACCCATTTACCCGCTCTACAGTTTTTTTTTGCCTTAGATTCAGATACTTGCCTGCCTTGTGGATTCAACCTTCTGCTGCTGTGATCCACTGAGCAGATGCAGCAGTCCGGTTTCCTGCTGCAATCTTGCGCCTCCTCAGCCATTGAAAGCCAGCTTCCTTTTCCATGTTTAGGCAGTGAGCCCCTGATGCTCTCAGCTCTGCCCACCAGCCACTGTGGGTCCCTACTATTGCAACCTTTTGGGATACATGATGTGGCTGAGGCAGCAGGGACACATCATTCTTGCCTAGGCGAGCAAGGTCTCGGGAGGATGGGGCCAGGACTAAAGTTTAAATGAAAAAGTGCAGATTTAACCACTTCAAGTCCAGGCACTTTTACCCCCTCCTGTTCCAGGCTAATTTTCATCTTTCAGCACTATCACACTTTGAATGGCAATTGCGCGGTCATGCAACACTGTACCTATATGAATTTTTTTTTTTAGACCGATAAAGCTTTATTTTTATGGTATGTATTCACCACTGGGATTTTTATTTTTTTAAGTCCAAAAATTTAGCAAATAAGTATTTCATCAAATCTTGGCCAAAATTTATTCAGTTATCTTTTTAGTAAAAAAAAAAAAATAACCCAAAATAGTTTATAACCAAAAATTATAATTTTTGTAAAACTTTTTTTACATTTTTATTTTGTTATTTATGATTTTTTTCTACATACTGTCACCCTAGCAGTGCAGTGTCACCATGGTGACATTGTAATACTTGTGGGGGGGTGATGAAGATTTTTTTTTTTTTTTTACACTGATTGCTTTTACACCCATAAAGGCTGTGATAGCAATCAGTTCTCCTTCTCTCTGGTTGCATTCTTGCAGCCATTGAGAACTACTGTGAGCTGTGATTGGTCACAGCTTGTCACATGTTACAAGGCTGTTGTGAAAAGCCTTGTACCATGTGACCTCTGGGATCATTCACAGATTTCACACGTAGTAAGCAATGATATCAGAAGTGACATCTTGCTTGCTACTCTTCATGTGATCACTGATTAGCCAATCAGTGATCACATGATTGGGACCTCGCACAGAGGTCCCGTACGACGATTGGTGTTCCACTGTGTCCAGAGGACACAGAGGGCACCGGATTGTGGTGCTGCGCACTCCCAGAGAGCGCGTACAGTCCAGAATGGCGGGCGCCGTTTATGAACGGCAACCCGCCCCTGGACTGCCACCGTCCGGCCATTTTATATACAGCGGCTGGATGGCAAGTGGTTAAAGTAGAATTCCACCTAAAAATCCCATCTTAATAATACTCCCTCCCCCCCTCCCAACACATATACTAACTAACCTGTGTAAAAAAAAAAAAAAAAAAAAAAAAAAAAATATATATGCTTGCCTATTTTCAGCCTACTCTAATCCCACTTATGTGATCATTTAAAGCGCAACTCTGGGAAAAGTAAAAAGCCTTCTTTGCAGGGGGCTATGCTCACACTGCAAGAGTTAGTGCTTTTCCTTGTCCTGCAGACAGAAATGAGCACCTGTTACTGTTGGTTGACTGTTCTTGAGTGTCCTCGCATCCAGTGCAGGGCTTTGGTCCCTGCATCAGTCTTGATATCAGTGGATCTTAGACTACTGGAGTCCACAGTGGAAGAGGCTGAGTATGTAAAACTGCTTTTCAAGTCCCTCAGACATAAATAAGCATTTAACCCTTGCAGTGTGGGTGCAGCAAGGGAGTATTACTTTTCCTACAGTTCAGCTTTATTTTTTAACTTAAGCGTGAGAGTTGCCCCTGGTGTGTATAAGCTACTATTAGTGGAAAAATGATGCCTGCACACGTCTGAAATCTGTTTCTTTATCCTTGGATGACCTTGGATTTCAGGTCGAAGCTGTACAAACCTTCCCCGTTTCAGTCAGCACTCAAATGCCTGAACCTCAACAGCAATTAGAAGGTTTGGCATTCGCTTGTTAGATTACAGTGCCTTGAAAATGTATTCATACCCCTTGATATTTTCCACATTTTGTCATGTTACAACCAAAAACGTAAATTTTATTTGGTTATTTTATGTGATAGACCAACGCAAAGTGGCACATGATTGTGAAGTGGAAGGAAAATGATAAATGGTGTTCAACATTTTTTGCAAATATCTGAAAAGTGTAGCGTGCATTTGTGTTCAGCTCCATTTACTCTGATACCCCTAACTAAAATCTAGTGGAATTAATTGCCTTCAGAAGTCACCTAATTAGTAAATAGAGTCGAGAGAGGTCAGAAATAAAAAAAAAATCTCAAACTTTGAACATCTCATTGAGCACTGTTCAATCCATCATCCGAAAATGGAAAGAGTATGGCACAACTGCAAACCTGCAAATAAGAAAAAAGAGAGCGCACCAGCCTTACACATTACCTCAGCAATACAAAGATTTTATCAAAATAAGATGTGTACTCACAAACATAGCAATATAGTATAGTACCAAGAGTAGATCACAGGAGATCAAGTAGTGTGTAGATCTCACAGACAGGGAGACTCTCATGAAGGCTGACACATTTCGAAGGGAGATCCCTTCTTCTTCAGCCAGCAGGAAAGCGAATGCCCTCATCTATCTATCTATCTATCTATCTATCTATCTATCTATCGATCTTTGTCTAAAAGGTGAACTTTATCCTTTAATATAATGTGATCCTCAGCAGTTACAAGGTCTACAAAGTATTGACTAAAGGGGGCTGAATACAAATACACTTTTCACATATTTATTTGTAACATTTTGAAAACCATTTCTCATTTTCCTTCCACTTCACAATTATGTGCCACTTTGTGTTGGTCTATCACATAAAATCCCAATAAAATACAGCTATGTTTTTGGTTGTACCATGACAAAATGTGGAAAATTTCAAGGGTATGAATATTTTTTCAAGGCACTGTAGGTGGCTTTTATAAGGTCTTAGCCCCCCCCCCCCTTCTTCTTCTTTTTTTTTTTTTTTTTTTTTTTTTTTTTTTTTTAGGGTGGAACATGTAACATGTTCCCATAGCCCCAGCCACTGCCCCCTCCCCGCCCTCTCTGACGGATAGTATGGGGAGATATGGAGATATCAACAGGTACTTATATTATTATACAGTATTTATAAAGCGCCAATAGTTCGCTCAGCGCTGTACATTACAAGGGGGACAGAACATGTGACAGAACAATACCAATACAATGCAAAACATGAGGGGATCGAGGGCCCTGCTCTTTCGAGCTTACAATCTAGGAGGGAGGGGATGGTGGCACAGGAGGGGATGGAGTGGTAGGAAGAGTGGAGGAGGTCGGTCAAGTTAGCAGGGGGTAGGCTTCCCTGAAGAGATGGGTTTTCAGGGTGCGCCTAAAGGAGAGGAGAGTAGGTGATAGTCTGATGGGTTGGGGCATTTATTAGCAACATTCGTTTATACATGACATGTAGGTGGACCTGGCAAATGCACCTTCTGTCCAGGAATCGAAGCTCTTCACAGTGTTTTTGGAGTAGGAATCTCAAATAACTAGTTTATATGGTTAGTCTAAAAGATATTTAGAGCTTCTGAAACAGTTTAAAGAAAACAAAACTGTTATTTGTTAATATTAATGTAGTTTTTTTGTCTTTTGAGTTTTTTGTGAAAGCATAGAGATTTCTAAGGTGCATATTTGTCTTATGGTTATGTTTAATTTTTGATTACAGACCTATTCAACCTGAACTCAGAGGAACAGAACCAATACTCTGCAGTGCAACTGTGAAGAGTCAAGCATGCTCAAACCGTGCCCTCCCATACACAAGACACTGTTTTCAGCGTATCCTTTTTTTTTTTTTTTTTTTTTTTTGTTTTTTTTACCATTCTGGATGTTTCTCTCACCTGGTATGGTGAATGCAGTTATGGAAAGCTTAAAATTAGACTATACCAAAACCACCTGTAAAAATTTATGCAGATTCAGTTTATGATTTATTCGTATCTAGAGCTATTTAAATACAACTAAAGGTTCCTCTGACGGTTTAAAGAAGTACCCTATCTAATAATTCATGGAAGATGGGGTTGATGCCACCACCTACAGGAGCAGGAGGCAAGGCGCAACAAATCTAAAAGCACAGCCTTCTTCAGTAGCATATATTGACAGTGCTATGTAAGTACCTGAAATAAATATACATTTTTTTTTTCTTTTCTGCGTGAAGGTGTGCCCTTTCCTCAGCTCAAGATAGAGTCGTCTCCTGTTTGCAAACCACTGGCTTTCCAATGTCTCAGACAGATGGGTTTTGGAGGTTGCAACTCTACCTTGTAACTCAAGTAGACAAACATTTCCGTCAGATCATGGTGTGTAGTTTTTTTTTTTTTTTTTTTTTTTTTTTTTTTTTTTTTTTTTTTCCCTCCAATCTGTGCCTCTCCCCTCAGCATTTAGCCTACTTACAATTCAGACTCCTAGAGCAGGGAATGATAGCCCCAGTTCCATACTCCATAAATTCCAAGGGTTTGCATTCCATTTGTTCACTGTCCCAAAAAAGGATGGCATTTAACTGATGTGGAATTAGCTTTTTTTTTTTTTTTTTTTTTTTTTTTTTTTTTACATCAAGGGAATTTCCTTGACTCAGTCGATCTCAAGGGCGTTTATCTTCACGTCCCTATTTGCCATAATCACCAGTGTTTCCTTCCGTTAACAGTAGAGGAGATGTATTATCAATTTGGTGACTTGCCCTTTGGTCTGGCATCGAAACCTCCTGTCTTCACCAAGACATTCGCTCTGATCTTAGCTCTTAAATGCCTACAACAACTATTCCAACTGGAAGGCTTGCTTTACCTATTGGGAGTCTCTAGCATTTCATCCCTGCAAGTTTTCTGTTGCTCCCGTCCTTTTATTTCTTCAAGAGGCTTGACCCTATACCCTGTGCAGAACTGTGTATCTGCCTTGGCTGTTCTTTCAGCAACCCTTGGCTTCTATTCCCCTCATTCATACTTTCATTCAAGGGGTTACCTGGGTAATTCCCCTCTCTAGATCCCCTTTGCTCTCTTTGTACTTAAATGTTGTCTTGCAGCTTCCTTTTTAGAACATCCAGAATATATCCCCTTTTCCTCTTCTGTCTCGGAAGGTGGCCCTCACCTTTTGCACGTAGGGTGTCTGAGCTAGCTACCCTTTCTTACGAACAGCTGTTTTTTTACTTTACATAAGGATAAAGAGGTTCTTTTCACTTGTCTGTCCTTGAATTGGTGTTGGCCTTCCATGTGAACGAAGACTTTGTTCTACCATTCCACTGCCTTCTAAACACCAACAATTTATGATTATGCAACAATCCTGAGAACCGATCCAAACTCCTACAGCATGTCAAACTGCGTGGTGACGTAACGAGCGCAAGCTCTGCCCAACGCGTTTCCTCATAAATGATGTTGTGGGGGGCACCGTTGCGTATTTATTCAAAGCACTATTTTGTCATTGGACATGTGAGTGTGTATCTACTGGATTTTAATAAAATTGGTTACACAGTTTTACACTATGTATGTCTTCTCACCTTTCTTTTATGATATACATGATTGACACCACCGGGGTTAAAGGAGATAAATTGGAAGAGAACGAGATTCCAAACTGAACTTTTTGGCATTTTTAGTACAATTGGAGATATGGAGGAATGATGGAGTAGCATCCAGATCTGCTTTGACCATATGCCTTTTGACTTTTTTTGGTATCCTAAGAGTCTACTCGATTTGGTAAGAGGCCATTGTGTGTACGGTGGTGGTGCACTTTGGGTTCAAGAGGATGTGGGCATATATACCCATCTTTACATAGAATATTGGACTTTTGTTTTTCATCACTTCAACTTTGCATTTAATTTTTTTGTTTGCATGTAATATAATTTATGTACATTTATGCTTATATTTGTCATTTCTAGTGCTGAAATCTATTTGCACTACTTGTATAGATTACAATTTCAGTGCCTAGATTGCAGAAGTAGAACAGCTTTGAAGTTTTAAATCGGCCCTTTCCATCTATCTTTTAGGTTGTAAGCTGTAATGAGCAGAGCCCTCTGATTCCTCCTATCTTGAATTGCATTGTAACTGTATTGACTGCCTGCATTTTGTAAAGCCTTTGCTGTAGTGAACCCTTGAGTAGTAAGAGCAGTCTTGTAAGTAACTCCTGCATGGCACATGCACATCTTTTTGTAAAGGTAATTTACAGTATTTACATGAGAGCAGGCTGAACCTCTGCCATGGAAATATCTTGGCACTGTTATGGAATGTGGTGGGTAAGGCAGGTTATATTGTCAACAAGTGCAAAGGTCTTACCAGCACTGTGGAGGTCTGAAATTGAGTGTTTGCATTTCTGAGAAAAAAGATGCAAGGTGATTCCCTATACAAAGTTTTATTTAACTGCTTGGGAAAAAAAGCTTGGGAACGTTTCTTCCTGTGAAGCAGTTTAGGAAAACAGAGATGTGATCTACCCACCATCTGCAGGACTTCCTGTTGGGCCTTAGTTGGAATGGTGTGTGAGGTGATGGTGGTATTGGTAGTGCAGAAAAGAATGCCCATGTCATTGCCTTGCATTGATACTGAGACACACAGGATTAGCTGTAGCTACAAAACAAAGTTTCAAATTGTAATTGTTTTCACAAATAATACATTTTAATTTGCCCGTATTTCTGCTTAACCATTGAGTTTTACTTTTCCGAAGACATGATATGAGATTAGCATGATTCATGGCACAGTGTTCCTAGTCATGACACTCTCCGGACTTGGGGACATATGCTAGTCCTAAAATATAATGTAAGTGGGTAGTCCATGGACTGGTTTTGTGGCTGTACTAATGTGAGGAAATACCACTGTTTGGCACTGCAGTAGAAGGGCTAATGGGCAGGGAAAAATACATATGTTTATAGCAATGTGTCAACTTTTGTTATTCTAAGTGCTTTATAGCAGTATGAATAGTATTGTGCTCTTTTGTATTTTCAGCTTTAAATTTTTAAGAGGTTTTTTGAATTGAGAATTTCAATTTAATAGTAGGTGAGTATAGCCATGGAAAGGAAAATGTGACGTGGCTTTTCATCCAAACATGCACTGTCCGTGTCTCTAACTGAACAATGCCCTGAAACCTATAGTGCTTCTAAGCTGAAGGCCCTTTTTTCCTGCCAAGTAAGTGGGCTTTTATGGTGTAATCCTTTTTTTTTTTTTTTTTTTTTTTTTTTTTTTTTTTTTTTATTCCAGTGTTTAGTTGTTGTTTGCAGACAGTAGTAGTTCTTCTTAACAATTTGTCAGATATCCTGTCAAACAGCTCTCAGCAGCTTTTCACCAGTTGCACAGCAAAGTTCGCTGATGGACAGCAGTGCTCTGTGCCTGTGTTTGACATCACACATCAGACACCCCTATGTGAAGAACATGCCAAGAAAATGGTAAGCATTCTTGCTGGAACACCGTTTTGGGGAATGAATGAAAAAAAAAAAAAAGTGAAAAATTATAATAATCCTATTAGGTAGGTAGAATCTATCTAATCTATCTCATCTATCTATCCTATTTTGGTTGGAGTTGGTCAGTTAACTTTACTATGTCCTTTTGCTTTACTATGAGAAGAACCGCATAACCAGCATTTAGACACACTTATTCATTCTTGCTCCTTTTTTTTTTTTTTTTTTTTTTTTTTTTTTTTTTGGTGTTTTTCATGTTTTATTTTTTTTTTATCATTTTTCTTACTTTAGGTAGTGCCATGTCAAAATTTTATGTTAGGGATAAAATTGTTTTCAGCACACTTTTGGGTTATTCAAAGGAAACTTTGTCATTAGATAATCATAGGGGATTCTGTTGGTGGTCTTTCAGCAACGCTAATTGCTTGGGAGCTACTTCCATACTGTTCTGAAATAAGTATGCAGTTCGGGCATTATTTGCTCTTTCTGCATCTTCTTAAATTGAACTTTCATTTAAAAGTGAAAGTCTTGCTAATTCATCCACCAACACTCCCCCCAACTTTTTTTTTTTTATTTTTTATTTTTTTTGGGAACGGGTATCTTTTTCTGATAGGTTCCCAAGCCCACGTGTGCATTTTTTTTGCCTAGTCAAGAATTTTATAGCCTTTACCAGCCCAGTGCACGGTACAATTTACTACAAGCTCAGTGGGCAGCCATCTGTGAATGACAGGAATTCAGAGGAGGCTCCAGCAGCCAATATGGTGGTGCCAGGATTCGAAGACATGTGAGGGCTAGCCAATGGTGAAGACTGTGCTGGACTCATGGTCTAGTGAGTGTCTGTTTCTTAAAATCCAGCAGCTACAGTATTTTTTAAAAAAACTGGAGTTCCTCTTTAACTTAAACACTGAAGCCAGCCAATTTTCACTCGCCTATAAAAAAATATACTTTTAACATTTTTTTTCCCCCCCTAAATACCCTATTAGGATAATTTCTTGCGAGGAGACAATTCACGTAAAGTTCAACACCAGCAGCAGAGGAAACCCAGGAAAAAGACCAAGCCCCCAGCACTTACCAAAAAACACAAGAAAAAGAGAAGGCGGGGTCCCAAACGCCCTCAGAAGCCCATTCCACCTGCATTGCCACAAGGCAATCTCTGTATGCCCAGTAGCCTCTCACTGCCAGTTGAAGTCTCCAGTATAAGGTTAGTGCTTGATTTTGATAAGGGTATAGTATGCTGTATTTGTGACTTTATAATCTCTCTCCTTTAGGGTATACTTAGTAAGTCATACTACATATGAATTCTGATTTTACATACCCAGATAATATCTTACACCTGCAGCAGTCTTACTGTGTGTTTTTCATTTTTCTCATTAGTTTGCCTAGCATGAGTTTATATAATGTGTCTGTGTCCTACACTTGTCAAAATACCGGTAATACAATTTATTTAGCATATTTTGGATGTATCCTAGGTACTATTATGTGTTACTTTGAACATTCTCTAGGACAAGGAAATATAATAACGAAAACATAGAACTTGTGCTAGTGAAAAGTAAGCACGCTATATTTAAAATGAATCTAAAACCAAAAATGGAATATAATGCAGCTTACCAATCCTTAGATGTCATGGTTACATTCGTTTTTGTTTTTTTTCCCTCAATTTTCATCTGGTGATTTGGTTAGTAACCCCTCCTATCTTAGGACGGTGAAGCAGTGTATTCACTGGACAGCAACAGAGACTAGTGTTAGACTAGCAGATTTCTATGGACTTTACATAAGAGACTTACACATTTAAAGCCTAACTTTTAGCTTCCACTTTTTAGGACATTACAGATACTAGTTCATTTTTTTTTTTCTTTTGCGATACAGCTTTTATCCCCGTTTAATAAAAGTTGGCTCTGTCAGCGTGGAATGGTTTGTCTCAAACCTCCACTTTTGTTGGCCAGTTTATTTTGTTAAATGAAGTTTAAAAACTTCAGATTTACTGACAGGATCAACAGATAAAGGGAACTAAGAAATGTTTTCTGTGTTAATTCTATTGATAGACTGCATCTTATGTGTCATTTTTTTGTTTTGCCCATAATTACATTTTCAAATTCTATTTAAAGCCAGTTTTTGTAAAATGAAATGCTGATAGTAGGATGTTCATGATCTTGATGTGTTTTTTTTGTTTGTTTTTTCCTTTTTTCAAAATTTTTCTCTTTGCTTACTCATAGTATTCCCCTGCTGTGCTGCCACACTTCAGGTATGTGGGTGCCCCCGTGCTTGCCAGGTTTTATGGAGTCTTCACTTCAGAGGGTGCTCCCATTTTGAACTACAGACTTATATGTAACCACCCCCAGTGCGTACACACAGGCAGCCCAACATACATGGAACCAAAGCCGTGCCTCTCCTGATACTCACCAGTGATTGACCACTCCTGAGCTTTAGTTTCTGTGTTTCTCGTATTGCCTGTGTGTGCAGCGCTGGAAGCTGCTGATTGTAAGCTTGTAGAGACTTGGGGAGACTTCATGAGCCTTGGCAGGTACAGGGGGCACCCACATACCTAAACTTGGCCAGAGCGGCTGAGGACAGTGTAAGAAACCAGCACAGAGTAGAAAAATGTGGAAAAAAACAGCAAGAAGTATGCAAGTCCTGCTTTTGGCATCTAATTAAAAAAAAAAATGGATTGAAAATCGCCTAAAAAAAGTGATGTTAAAAAAAAAAGTGTAAATATATACTGTACATGTATCAATTGTTTGGTTAGCAGCATTTGTGGTAAAAAAATTTTTTTTCTTTCTTTTTATATGGGCGTCAAAACATTGATAGATGGAATAGGTTAAAATGGTTAAAGCGGAACTGAAGTTGGATCTTTAACAATTTTATTGCTGCTTGTTACCATATTAGTCGTTTTTTGCCTTTGCTGCATGTCTGACTCCAGAACAAGAAGGAAGGAAACACTTCAAAGGACAGAAGACCACGAAAGCAATACAGTTTACACATGATTTAACACTTACACACTTTATTTTTGTCCTGCAAATTTCCTGATTGGAGAGATTTCCTATCACTGTTTGTCTCTATGGGGATTGGAAAAAGCACAGACTTTTAGGAAAAGTCAGTTTTTGCATAAAGAAGCACCTAGGTTTGTGGGGCTCGACTGTTGATGAAAGTTTAGCATCACACTGCTTGGTTTATAAACATTACCATCATTGTAGCCTTACTTCCTTAAAGCAGAATTCTGGGAAAAATTGTTTCCCACGCAGTGGGGCTGTGCCCTAAGTGCATGTGTCAACTGCTACTTTTTGTCTAGGGATGAAGAGAGCGGAGATATACTCGCCTAATCTGTAGCTCCTTCCGGCACAAGACCCGTCCCTGCCATTCCTGCCCCTCCCTGCAGTCTTGTGTGGTGAATTGTACCTGACGTCATCATGCCTATAGACCGGCTGTGGACGTAAGCATAGTAGGAACACCGCTGGAAGTGGGGAGTGCTGCTTTCTGAAGGATCGGGGGAGTATAAGCTCCGCATTCACCCCTAGACAAAAAGGAGCAGTTAACCCATGCAGTGCGGGTATGCATTCACAGAAAATACATTTTTCCTGGAGTTCTGCTTTAATAGCTAATCCACCAAAATCCTAATGAGTACCATCCATAGCCCAATCAGTGAACTACAAATTTGCTATATTAGTGGGCTATGAACCCCTCCCCTTCAAAAGCGTGAGTAAAATAACCTGTAATGCTTTCCTAAAGTAACCCAAACATTTGAAACTTGCTGATCAGTGGCTGATTAAATCAGTGCAATTTTTGCATGCCTCTGATATGGTAGGGGGTAAACTTTATTAATTTAAATGTTTAGACCATAAGCTTTGTATGATAAACCAGTACTATGTATATAGCAGTGGTGCATTTTCACATATATTTATTATGAGCAGACATTGGCTTTAGTCTTTAACACGTTTTAGAGTGTCCATTTTTAACCTTTTTATTTTTTAAAAGTAGGAAAGGACTTTATATTGTAGTTTTATGTCGCCACTAGGTAGCTTAACTCACTCTGCACTGATGACCACTGTCATTGGAACAAAGTGATGGAAATCCCTTATTTTTATTGTTGTCACCAAACGGGATTAGAAAGGAAATCTATCAATGGGACATCTGTTCTGGTGGCAACTATTTTAAGAAGGTAATTCCCCTTTTATTTTAAAGATTTCTTCAGACTGTTGTTTCTAGACAGACAGAAGAAGGGACAGACAACAAAGGAATAAATGAACAGGGGTTTTAACCCTCTGCACTATATAAACAGAAAACATTTATTTTAAGTTTTTGAATAAACAATTTTCCTTCAATCTTCCACACATTTTTCTGTGAAGTAAAACAGACGTCTGCTCCGTTTTTGTAGAAGTCCATCCACACCAGACTTGAGCACTGAAGAGCTACCGGATGACATCACTAGTGAGATCACTGACATTCCTCATGATCTGGAACTGAATCAAGAAGATTTCTCTGATGTCCTTCCACGTCTGCCTGATGACCTACAAGACTTTGACTTTTTTGAAGGTAACTATGATATATAAACATTTGATTTGTAAATCAAACATACAATCACTCCTAGTGCTCAGAGATCCATCAGTTGAATGGGGCCAAGGATGGCAAGGAATGAATTCCACCAGGAATGCATAGCCGATGCAGCCCTTCTCGGATAGGGTGATCCACTAGCAACCACAAAAAGAACAAACAAAAAGGAGCAAGCACCTAGTGCATTACCAGTGATTTATTAAAGACAAGTGTCACAACAAATGGGTACACACAAGTAGATCAAAATGGGTTAAATCCACAAGATGATACAAGATGTAGGAACCAGGGGCGGACTGACCATTTGGAAACTCAGGCGCTGCCCGAGGGTCCGGGGTCAGTAGGGGGCCCCATGAGATGCCCCTGTTACCTTTTTCATAGGCTTTTTTGAGTTTGGGCAAGGACACCGGGGCCCCATGATCCCCTATTGCCCGGGAGCCCCATGAGTTGTCAGTCCACCCCTGGTAGGAACCGTGTGTCCCAACATGCAATAATCTGTAACTCTCCTGAAGAAGCCAAAAAATTGGCGAAACATGTTAAGTGGGAATTGTTGAATGGTGAATTTTGAGCCACATGGAGCGCCCTGTTGGTTTTAAACCTTCACTTCTTCCTTTTTTTTTTTTTTTTTTTTTTTTTTTTTTTTGTGATACATTGTAATAAATAAAACTTGGCATGATTTTAATACAACACTAAATGTTTAAGATTTTTTGAGCACCTTAAAGCAGAGTTCCACTCAAAAACGGAAGCTGTTTGTTTGCTTCCTCCCCCATCCACTGCCATATTTGACACCTTTTTGGGGGGAGCGGATGCCTTTTTTGATAGGTACCCGCTCCCACTTCTGCCTCAGTTCGCCACGGCAAAGTTTTTTTTTTTTTTTTTTTTTTTTGTCAAACTAAACCTCCGCTTTAATTAACCACTTGCAAACATTATTATTATTTTTATTATAATACAGGATTTATATAGAGCCAAAAGTTTGCGCAGCGTTTTACAAAATCAAGGCAAAATCATTACAATTGTAATACAATTTGGTACAAGAGGAATCCAAGGGCCCTGCTTGTTAGAACAAACATGGACTTTTTGTAATTTAGATGCCTAGAAATGTATCTGACTTTGCTTTTAAATGGTCACATTCACACTATTACAGCAGAATTCATTTTCTTTTAGGTAAAAATGGAGAACTTCTCCCAACAACTGAAGAAGCTGAAGAATTGGAGCGGGCTCTTCAAGCAGTTACATCTTTAGAGTGTCTAAGTTCCATTGCAGTGCTGACTCAAGCAGATGGTGTTACTGGTCAGGATCTTTCAGAGCGTGGAATGACGTCATCATTCTCTTCAGGGTCTGGAACCACAGAAATTCACTCGCTGAGCCGAGAAGATCATACAGACCTTGGAAAATTACTCAATGGGCATATGGTTCATGAAAACTTTACCAGTCTGGAACTGGATGAAAACCTCCTTGGTCGTGCTACTTTGTCTAGTCCACCTATACCTCTGAGTGGGCATATTCAGAGGCAGTTTTCATCATCTGCCAATGTTGGCCTTAGTTCTGCCACTCTAATAAGCCACAGCTCGCTTGAAGAGAGGTCTTTCACGGGTACATACCATGAACTTCATGAAAGCAGCCATTCTTCCCAGCGGCCTCTACCTGCAGAAATTCTAAGCAAAACAGAAAATGTAATCACCTCGCAACAGCAATACAGCAGTGACCATCCACATTCTTCTCCTCATGATAGCCATTATGACAGTGAGCATGTCCCTTCACCGTATAGTGACCAAATTACATCTCCACATGCTGCCTCCTTTGCTGGTGATGGTTTAACAGATACATTTTCTTCAGAGGTGCCCATTATTACGCAGCACTTGCTCACCACCCAAATGGAGGTGCCTCTAAGTGGGGTGGTAAATGCTCAGTCTCATTGGGGTAACCTCCCTGTGAACCTTAGTGATCCATCAACTTTCAGCACCTTCCTCAGTTCTGATGGGCACCTTCTTTCTACGTCTTTGTCTACCCCTCAGACTGTCTCTCATTCAGAGCCTTCACAGCCTACCTTCTCCACTGTGACCCCCAACAGCTCTAACATGCTTCCGGGGTTACCACAGACAAGTTTCAGTGGCCTAAGCCCCCCTCCCTCTGAACTCATGGATTCTACACCCTCCAAACAACAGCTCCCACAATTCATTGCAGCCTTTGGTCATCAGCTGACTTCTCACAGTGGCATCCCCAAAGACCTGCAACCCAGCCATAGCTCCATTGCTCCTCCTGCAGGATTTACTGTAACAGGTGCCACGGCTACAAGTACCAACAACACCTCTTCATCCATCAATCACAAAATCTGATATCCTTGCCTGTTAAAGAACAAGTAGTATGAGAAGCGATTTATCACATTCAGCGCCTCTTATCACATTTCCCCTGGAATATATTTTTCACATTAATGAAAGGAGGAGTGTATTCAGTGCAATGTCCTCCTTGTGCTGTAATGGCACTGGTGCTCCTATTATCCTTGTTTGTCTGCTTTCCTGTTTTATATTCCCAGACTAGTGACGCTGGGTTCTATAACTTTCTGCTTGGCTTCTGACCACAGGAAATATGCATCATGTCTTTTACTACCTGATGTTGGCCATCTGGATATATGTAGTTAATGCAGAGCTACAAGGCCGTGGCAGCAAGCAGGTTAGGGTATCAAGGAAAGTGCGCTTTCCATGAAAGAGCAGCAATTGGGCAGTACTGCTTCTCTATACTCTTTTTCAATGCAGTATGAACCCAGTGTCCTTTTCTAGCGAAATTAAGCTATCCCAATCTTGTTCCCTGTGTGTGCATCTGTGTATGAGTGTGTGCTTGTGTGCGTTGTAGAAACTTTGAAGAAATCCCAAATCTTAGGGGTGGTGTCGCTAGCACTTTGTTTTTAGTAGCTTCCATTCCACGTTTCCTGCTAAACTCAGTGCATGGTCCATAACATAGAAGTATTTAAGGCATGACAAAAGGCAGACAAAATACAAAACTGAGTTGAAGTAGCCTTTAAGAGTACAGCGCATGGTTTTGTTTCAGTTATTTAAATGCCAATACTAGAAACATTTTATTCCACCATCTCTTTGCAATTCAGTGACCATTTTAACTTTTTGCACATTGGCCTTTGATAGTTTCTTACAACGTAGAGAAGTTCTGATTTGATTGACAAAACCTATTTGAAGGACCTTCCTCCTGATTCTGTAGTTGGGATTCCTGCATGTGGGGATAGCACTGGCTTCTTTTGGAATTAATTTGAATGTATCGGTCTGTGATTGAATTTTTTGATTGTCAGGTTGTAGACTAGTAGAAAATAGATTATCACTTACCCATTTGGTTAAGGTTACCAAATTTATATTAAGACATTTAATATTGCCTCCACTATCACATATATAGGACCTCCCTGTTTACCCAAATAGTTTTAAAATGTTCATAAATCATTGTGTAAAATCACTTTTCTGGACAGCTCAATAAAATAGTCAGGGACAGTATCCACTAAAAGTAATAACTTTATGGGCCCGGAGCATGCAGTCAACCTAAAGCAGGCCGTAGATGATGCAGTTTCCTTTCCTGCTACCATGTGTTGCAAGAAAGAAAATCGCTCAATTTCCCTAACACAGTTGGTGTTGCTGGGGGGAGCCATCCCTGCTGGGGGGAACACCGTGATTATATAGCTGCTGGCAATGAGTGCATGTAAAAATGTAACATGCTATGTTTGAATCTCGGCTGGTCCTTGTTGAACTGGCTGGTGCTTGCTGAGATGCAAACCTTCTATGACCGGCTTAAAAGTTTGTGTACCGTTTTTGCAAGCCCTGTCTGAAAAATGCTGAAATCTGATTCCCAGCTTATAATCTTTCTCGTATATTGAGGTCACAGGAAGTCAGCTGTCGGGTTGCACTGCTGCCTATAGGAGTATTGGACAAAAAATTGTATGCTGCCTTGGAATAATGGTAATATGAGGAGTTATACAAGTCTTAGGAGAGGTATTCCCTTCCCGTGTTATATGCACTTAGGCAGTGATTCCTTTCCTGTTGCACATTATTTTCTCTTCCATACCCTGGTTAAATCATATAGACCAGTTCCATGTTATGGTCTACTTTTAGGGGTTTCCCCCATCTTTCTCTTTGGTGTTGGTTGTCTTATCCTTGGGCATCTGGCTTAATACCCATGCTATCAACTGGTCTTGTCCTCTTCCTATCACGTAAGGGGTTTGGCCTCATCTGGTTTCAGCTTTGGAAGTTGGCTCTTGATCGGATCTTCAGCTGCAGGTAGTCCCCAGTTGTTTACATTGGACCTGTTAGCAGTTGTTTGCTGTTGTGCACCCCTCAGTTGGGGTGTTTTTGGATGTCCAAGCAGGATGTAATTTCCTGTTTCCCTCAGTGAATTAAAAAAAAGATAATAGGAGTTTCTTACTCTCCATTAAATCACACAGGCCCCATTCCCACATTTTTCAATGATCATGCTCTTGATACTGCTTGCTACAAAATTGAATCCTGTTGGTAGTAGGAGGGCTTATCCTGTGCTTGTCAGTGTCCAATCCTCTTGCAGGTAGCTGTAAATCCTGACCGTATAGGATGACATATGTAGCGCAAGAATCCTCCAAGAAAAGCATTTTATGGCAAGTCTATGGCCTATTATTTAGACATTGCACAGTATATCAGAAAGCCGCAACTGTCTTGAGAAGTTAAAGTGTTACTAAACCCACAGCAGTAAAATGAGTCTGTGTATGCAGTTAACCATGCTTGCTATACTCTAACCTAATTGGTTAAAAAGTGTAATAAGGCTTTTTGATGCTGTCTTCTCTGACCCTCCCCTTCTTCCGCTGTCCCCAATCCATTTGTCTATGGACAAAGCACAGTGGTAAGTCTGCACATGCTCAGTCTGGTGTGTATTTCTAGAGAGGTGGGGGGTTTTTTGGGAGGGTGCATGTAAACAGCACAGAGAGCCAGTCGGCGCTATCGACACAGAGGGTCAGGGATCATGCAGCCTCATAGGACAGTCAGAGGAGAATGAAAACCCCTCCTACAAGATTAACCAGTGCTCAGCTGGACACTGATAGAAGTCATAAGACTACTATATACTGCTCAGAAAAGGTATTTAGCAGTTTATATTTATTCAGATAATTGCATTTCCATATTCTGTGTACTGTGGAAGACTGGATACAGTGAATGCTGGATCATGGATTTAGTAACACTTTAATTGTGTTTGTTTCTCCTTTTTACAGTGTAACTCTTCTTTGCACAGATTTTTTTTTTTTTTTTTCATATTACTACTGGGTGCAGAATAGAATACCCTTGTGGAACTTTGAAGAGCAGCTCTGGTCAACAAGTAAAATCTTTTGGTGAACAACTGTTATTGTGCAAGAAACATGGACACCATGCTGATATTAGAAAGGTCCCTCTGTTCACTCTACTTTTATTTAAATTTCTGCAGTAACGTTGAGAAAGGCTTTCAACCTGCCTGGGACCACATCCCTTTTATAGTTATTCAGTGGTGTATAGTCGCTCTCCTGAGCAGTGCTTCCACTGTAGTGAAGGTGGTCCAGAATTATTCATTTCTGAAGAATCATGGATTTGTATTATTAAAATATATTTCAAAGAGAGGTGTCTACAGAGAGACTTGCATATTGGAAATCTGCCTTACAGAATAGTTGGCCCTGGAGCTCTGCTTGTAGAGTTTATAGTAAAAATGAACTCACCACATCCTCCTAATTTTGTTAACATTATGGCTTAATGCATGTAGCCAAACCTACAGCTAAAAATATGTGAACTTCCACTATCTGCCAAAGGATTTGTAATTGTTTTATCTCCTTTTGTGAACCAGCACCCCAAATGAACATTGTAAATAGACAGCTGCCACCACTGTTTCCGCTTATAGATCTGTAAATTTGTATCTCCGTCTAACTGGACAATTAATGAGCAGATGTTGATTAATTTTTGGTTAAACAAGCTGGTAACCCAGAAAGCTGAAAAAGTGGCGTCTCTTGGTTACATAATGTTGCAGGGAATATGTGATTTAAAAGACTGGCTAAGCAGAATTCTAAATCCCCAGACAGGTAATGATTCAAAAACTTTTTTATCCAGATGTTTATTCAGTTGTCCAGCTTTAAAGCTGGTATGGACATATAATTATTTCTATTTATTTTGCATGATTTGGCTTCTTATAAATCAAGGTATATGCACCTCCTAAAATAGTTTTCAAAAAAAGAAATGGGTGCAGCTAAATCCACTGTCATCCCAAATTGAAATCTAAGATCCAGTTCACACAGGTGTACACTTTCATAGGGTTCAAGCAGAACTGTGGACATTTAGTTGAAAATTTCAAACCTTCCAAATCTTGAGTCCATTATTTCAGAGGTATATGGTTGTTGGCTGTAATAGTTCATACTGCATACATGGATTTTGCACAACTGCTCCACATTTATTGATAATGTCCAAGTTTGTTCACTTATAGTGGCCATAATTGGGCAGTTCTTTTTTTTCGGGACCAGGGAAAGATGTGAAACCTCCCTGGGTCTCTAAGAGCACTCTGGGCCCCTCTCTTATCCTGAAAATGATCTTTCTGGACACTGTTTTTTAATGATCATAGAAGATGTCCCCCTTTTCTGGAAGGTTTCTTTTCCAAATGGCCATACCAGTTTTTTATAGGCTCCCTTCATTTATTTTAGCTCAGTTTTTGAGTGGTAGGCTACCCCATTATTGCTGTGATTGAATCGGTTGCAGTGCTTTCAAAATTGTGTAAGGTCAAAATTAAAGTGATTCTAAAGGTTCTACATGTCTATATTTACCTACTGTGTGCAATGGGTTTTACACAGAGCAGCCTTCTCGGGTCCCCCACAGGCTCTCCTGGCTCCTCCTGTCTGTCGGATGCCCCCACAGCAAGCCGCTTGCTATGGGGGCACCCGCTTCTCCCGTGTGTCCACACATGGAGCCGCGGCTTGGCCCGCCCCCTCTCTTCTCATTGGCTGTGATTGACCACAATGGAAGCCAATAGCTCATGCTTGTTGTCTCAGCCAATGAGGAGGCAGAGACCCAGGACAGCTGAGGCTGTTGTTCACATCGCTGGATCGCGATGAGTCTTGGGTAAGTATTGAGGGGGCTGCTGCACACAGAAGGTTTTTTTACCTTCATGCATAGAATGCATGAAGGTAAAAAACCTTCAGCCTTTACAACCGCTTTAATGCTGTAGTATAGAAAGATGCATTTTCACTCCACTATTTTTCAAACCTTTTAGTTCGGTAATGGAATGGTGTATAAGGTGGCTGCCAACATGGGTAAAATAAATTCAACATTGCTAGCAAAGTCTCCTAAGAGCAGCAAACATCATTATTTTC